CAACACTCTGCGCCCCCCCCCCCCCCCCCTTTTGCGCGTATTTTTTTGTAAAGAAAACTAGTTGAGCTCTGCATGCTCCGTGTATTAAGTTCTAATCATTGCGTTATTAAAATTATATAACATCTAAATATAAAATTTTAAAAAGAAACCAAAATGAAAAAAAAAAAGACTGAAATAAATAAAATTTAGGGCGAAAGAGACCAAAACGAGAAAAAATAAAATTTCGGGGTAAAAGTAAAAAATGGGTAAAAAAAGGACTAGAGTGAAGAAATAAATAAGTTTTAGAGTAAAAGAAACTAAAACAGAAAAAAATAGAAAAATAAAAAAAAGGTAAAAAAAGACTAGAATGAAGAAATAAATAAGTTATAGGGTAAAAGGGACCAAAACAAAAAAAAAAGATACAATTTCAGGAAAAAATAAAAATAAAAAGAGACAAAAACATAGAAATAAATAAGTTTAGGATAAAAGAAACCAAAATAAAAAATAAAATTTCATGACTAAAAATGAAGAAATAAATAAATTTTAGGGCCAAAACACCAAACCAGAGAAAGAATAAAGTTACAATGCAAAAATTTTAAAAAAAATTAAAAAAGACCAAAATAAAAAAAATAAATAAGCTTTGGGGACTAAAATTATCTAAATAATAGATATTACAGATTATATCTTTCTATTTCTGACACATAATTGCACGTGGAAATAATATATCCACAATATACGCAACTTAGAACAAAACTGTATTCATATAAATTATAAATTATTTGCAGAGGAACTTTCAGAAAAAAAGTTAAATGAAGCTAATGACATGGGAATTAAAAAGACCAAGTTAAACATCTAACTAATACAATCTACAGTGTTGTTTAAAAACTATTATGTAAATAAATTCGAATGAGACGAGGCTTAATTAAAATTCTTTAAACTTTTTAGGTCACAAAGCGCAATTGTGTGTAGCAGAGCGGAGTTAAAAATTAGTTTTTAATATTCAATAGAGATATAGTTATATATTTCTAGCACGTTCGGTTTATAAATTTGAGTAGAACTTTTCGAAAGAAATTTAAATTTTTGTGAAAAAATCATTATAGAAAAAATGTTTAATTGTAATTTAAATCTATGAAACAAATAGATGCTTCAATTATTAAGTAGGATATAATTGTTTTTAATTATTAAGTAGGGTAAAATTGTAGCTTTCTTACAAAATGCAAAATGTCATTTCTATTTTTTACCATTCTCATTAATTAAGGAGAACCATTAAAATTTTTGGTAGTAAAGGTTTTGAGGGAAAAAAACACTTGTCGATCATCTCGTTCAGGCCTCTTTTTTTTTTTTTTTGGGCAGCCCTGATAACACGTGGAGATGTTAGTTGGTTGATGTCTAGTAGGAAGGATATATTATGTGCGTTTGGAACTCATTTTAAAATGATTTTATTTTTTATATGAAAATGAAAATGAAAACGTTTTCAATCTCATATAGAAATTATTTTTGAAAATACGTTTGGTAGTTTTATCAAGAGATTATTTTCAGTGTAAAAAAAAACTCATTAATGTCTCTCTTTCTCTCTCTACTCGAGAGGAGAAAATGAAAACAAAAAATGAAGGGTGCGTTTGGAATTGGTTCCAAGACGTTTTTATTTTTTGTATGAAAATGAAAACGCCAAACGCGTTTTTTGTAGGCGTTTTCAGTTTTTTTTCTCGAAAATTGTGAAAAATGAAAACGAGACCAAAAACAAACAGGCCCGAAACATTTCTCTCTCATTTTACACTAAACTAAAAAATCATTTTCATTTCCGTTTTTTGTCTTTGTTGCGCCAAACACCGTTTTAAAAACGTTTTTATTTTTTTTTTTTCAAAAAATGTGAAAAATAAAAACAGAATCAATTCCAAATACGGCCATTATCACCGATTGAGGGGCAATAACGTAATATGACATGTATATAATAATGAAGAAACGCACTTTAAGAAAGAAAAATACGACACAGAAACGAACATGTAACTTTCTGTAATAACAAGTGTATCTTTTTTTGGAAGTAAATGCATACATGACATAGTCGCATGTACATTGCTCGAATTGTGGTGATTCATTTCATGTGTGTTTAATGTCGTATGCTATAGCGTCGTTATAATTGTGAAGATTGAAGAAAGTTGTTTGTATATCAAATAACAAGTTGTACTGTACAAAAGCATCCAAAAAAAAAAAAAAAAGCAAAGTCCTCTATGTTCGTAATTGTGCTATTGAAGTTGTCAATAGCGAGTACAAGTCAATAAGAAAACTTCTAATATTTTCAACACATTAAATGAGTAAAATAAAATACATTATACGACTCATGGAATAGAAAAGGGCAACATTTTTACTTGTGGATAAGGCACTAAGTTTTCTTAGAATTGTTCATTAACGATATACTCAATTTTTTAAGACTCGTCGTCTTTGATTCATTAACAATATACTCAATTTTTCAAGACTCTCATCGTCTTCTTGTTTCTATGCCAGTTTTCTCTATAGTTGAGGGTTTAGTTTCAGATCATTTAATCCTTTAAAAAGAGAATCAGAGTGTAAAATTCCAATAGTTTGTTTTCATTATGCCTGCAAATAAGTAGGAAATTTTTTACAGGAAAAGAACTAAGCTTGTTTGATATTTGGGATCTTCCTTTTAGTCATGCAAATTAAAGCTGCGTTTATATTATTTCATAAATCAAAATAGGCTATAGTAGTTAGCCATGTAATGAATCTTTCACACTCAAGAAATAAAACTTCTTACGATGTCAATTTATCAGATTAATTTTGACGCCTCATGTTATAATTTATCCATTCCACAATAATAAGAACTAAAATCGTTGCCTACTATGTTCCAACTAAAATTAAAGGCCTACAACACAAAAACACAAAAATACCAGACTAAACCTCTACAAATTAACAATGAACTCTTAATCCAACAACACTCAAATGTTTCAGATAGTATAAATTCTTGTCAATATCTAAGATTTAACACTTTAAGAAAAAAAGAAGCATTTCAAATCCGCTCAAAAAGGAAAAAAGAAAAAATAATAATAAATTCATAACAAACTGAATAATTTCAACAACTCACAGACCCAATAATAACTTTGGATGTGAGTAACTTAGGTAATATTGACAAATATCTCTTAAAAGTACATAAGTCAGACTTTTTACCATTTACTCTTGATTCATAACCTTTTTAGTCAAATAATTACACTAACAAAATAGTATTTATTAAAATTAAGAGGTAAATGTTCGGACTCATGCACTCTTTAGGATAAATTCTTCATTTTTTTGAGTAAACACTTTGAATGCAAGAGTATGGATAAAAGGCCTGACAATAAAAATAAAACATATCAATAACTTCTTCCCTACAATTTAACATGGGTTCCAAAACAAGTCATGCTTGCTAACATTACAGCCCAAAAGATAGCATTAGAAATGC